CTGACTTGGTTCTTTATCCCAAGATCCAGGGAGGAAGCCATTCAAAGAATCAAAGTGCAAGTTACATGATCGAACTTTTATTTATTTCAAAAAGGTGAGCCCAGCTGTATTGTAAAAAAAAAAAAAAAGGTGTGGAAGGGATAAGAACAGATGTAAGGGAGGACGTCTTAAGAAGTCATTGTCTCATCCAGGCGAGGGCTGGGCCTTCAGTGGTAAGGATGCTAGAGATGGAGTTAGCAGATGACTTGGAGAAATGTGTAGAAGGTGAAAGTCTATGGGTGGAGGGGGTGAGTGGGAGTGAGGTGGCCAGTCTGAGTCCTGGATTCTATCCTGAGATGATGAGTGTTCACTGGAGATCCAGTTGGGCACAAGGAAATCACGAGTTCAGGTCTGGTTGTAATAACTTTAACATGCCTTTGGACTTCCAAATAGAGATGCTAAGTAGGCCGTTGCACGTGTGAATCTGAGGCAAAGTGCAAAGATCTAGGCTGGAAATATACATTTATGAATCATCTGTGTATGGAGAGAATTGAAGCCGGGGCATGGATGGATGAGAATCTCCAGGAAGAGAATGGGTGGCCACTGATGACTTGAAGAGTCCGTCCATTGGAGTGTTGTATATGGATGTCAGATTTGAAAGGATGGAGGAAGGAGTGACAGGTGACAACATGGAGATGAAAAGAATAGATATTTTTGTGGCAAAATTTGTCTGTGATAAAGAAGACAGAGAGAGGGAAGAGGCTAGAAGGTATTATGGGTTGTGTGTGTGTGTGTTGTGTTGTTCAATGACTGAGTGGCTTGGGTACATTTACAAGGAAGTGAGAAAGCTCCGGAATGAAATCAAAAGCTAAAGTAATCAGCAGATTTCCTGGGAAGGTGGGAAGGAGTGAAAGCCAATACACAGTGGTAGAGATTGGTCTTCAGCTGTGGAAGAGGCAGCTCCTAATAAAAATAGGCCAGGAAAAGGCCAGGATGCATGTGAGAGGCAGTGGGTCTGTATGCCTGATGGCAGGAAGTTCCTGGTTGTTTCGTGTGTGTGTGTGTGTGTGTGTGTGTACACATGCATGAATATTTGTGTGTGAGTGATTTGGGGAGTGAATGCAGAGATGTTTGAGGTCACGGTGTAATATTCTCTTCTTAAACAGCTGACTACAGTATGCTAGTATTGGATTTAGTGACGTGTTAATGATATTGCCGCATGTAGGCATCTTCCATTTCACATGGCGGACTCCAAGCATGCCTTCCTACAAAGGGGGAAGTGGGCCTGAAACCCAGGTCCACCGTGGGATCTTGTTAGCATACTCCCCACGGAGATGTGTTCCCGACACGGAAGGTTAGCACTCGCTGTTTTGTTGTCTTCAGATCTCTCCGAGTCGTGACAGGTCTCTAGCTGTAATTTCTTCTAGCCAGTCTTGATATAATTGGTCACTTCCTCTCAGGCTCCAGCAGTATTTATGATGCCCTTCATGCGGCCAAATGGTTTCAACAGTCCTTAATCTTTACCAGCTGTGTCCTCAACTGGGTGCTAAAAAGAACTCACCTGTCTGCAGTGCCGTAACACTTGCATTTGAACTCTTAAGAATGATGCTGTTCCTTGGCACTTCTCCCGACCCAGAGCATATCATGCTTTCCCTCTTTTTCATGACCTGGGATTTGAGAGTAGCATCCTCTCATTCATAGTGGCTTATCAGCTGAGAGAAAGGAAAATGGATTAACTGTTCTTTTCAATATGGCCCTGGGCTTGTATCTGTAATATAGCATTGTACAAGGCAACACTGTATGAAGTAGAAATGGTTATTTTTTCTTCTATAGATTTCATTATCAGGGTTATGGTAGTTTTGTAACATGATTGGAGTTTTCCATACCTTTCAACAGTCTTAAATAGTTTATATCATGGGGCGCCTGGATGGCTCAGTCGGTTAAGCATCTGACTCTTGATTTAAGCTCAGGTCATGATCTCAGGGTCCTGGGACCAAGCCCCATGTCGGGCTCTCTGCTTAGCGGGGAGCCTGCTTCTCTCTTTCCTTCTCCCTCTGCCCCTCCTCCCCGACACCCGCTCGTGCATGCTCTGTCTCTCAAATCAATAAATAACATATTTTAAGAAACAGTTTATATCATGGATATTATCTTTTTAAAAAGTTTGAAAGTTTGGTTCCTACCCATTCTCGTTTTCCCCTTTTGGGGGCAGGATTTAGGGGAGAGCATCATGGCTGGATCTTTGACATAATTTTCAAGCCCCACCCCTCCTGCTTATTGTTGTATTCAAGATCTTAATTTCCAAGTAATTTCCCTAATTTAGGTTTTCTTGGGAAAAAAAAAAGCCATCCACTTCATGACAGTATTGATATTATTATTACGAGTTGTTCATCTGGTCTTGGGTTGCTTTAAGTCTCTCTCTTCTCTTTTTTTCTGGCCACAAATAATGTGGGATCCATTCACTCTTTCTGACCAAGCAGTTATATAGGGAATGGCTTGTGGAAAATTCTAATGGTTAGACTTGGGGGTTTAATTGTTTATAATTTGTTAACAGTTGGACTCTGTTGTGGTCAGAGAATGTGACCTGCAGGATTTCTGGCTTTTGGAACTTATTGCAGTTTACTTTATAGACTAATAGAGGATCAGTTTTTGTTAATGTTCCATTGGTGCTCCAAGAGCATATTAATGTCTCTTTCTAGGGCCCAAGGCTCTTCGGTTATTAAATCAACATACTTTTCTTATTCAGTTTATTTTTTCATATTGATTTTACAACTTGATGTATTAAATACTGGACAGAGCACTTTAAAGGCTCTGGCTAGATGTTCTTCATTGCTCCAGGTATTTCTTACTGAGTGTGTGTGTGTGTGTGTGTGTGTGATGTTATTTGGCATGTTGAATTACTCAGGCCTTGCATGCAAGAAACCCAACTCATGCCAACCTTAAACCAACAAAAGGAAATGTGTTAATTGGCTCTGCTTCCCTTTTTTGAGTCCTTTCCCCCCGCAATCATTAATTCATTTCTTGGTGAAGGCTTTGAATATTATTTCTGCCCCCCAAAAGACCCTCTTATTATGACATCGTAGAAGTCAAATGTGGATTGAGGGATGTTGCCTCATGCTACCAAAGGAATTGATTAGAAAAATTAGACTGAAATTTTAATGCTTCCTTTATTTTATAGCTCCTAAATGCATCACAATTATCAGCCAAATTTTGCTAAGTATAAGATGAAGTAAACTTATATTTTTTACTTCTACTTTTGAAGATAAAGGTTTTGTCAAGCCTCTTGAAGTGAAAAGTGTTAAATTCTTCTCATAGGTTGAGTATGTGGGGTGGAAGATATTGTTGTGGCCATCTTTAGAAAATACATTTTACCCCAATAAGTATCCTAAGCCATCTATTAATTTTTTACATTCCTTTGAATATGCTTGCTTTAAGACAGAGAATTTCTCACGAGTGTTTTAGCACTTCATCCAAATGGTTAAATGAGATCACTTTAGACCTTTAAGACCTACCCACTGTGTCTCCAGAAAACATTCCAAAATAGTCTCTGTGTATATTTTCTACAGAATTTTGATTACAAATTAAAATATATGTGAAAGATAACTGGACTTTGATGAAAAAGAAACGCAGCCGTGCTAGAAAATGAGCATCTGGGCCCCTATGAAGTCCGTAAGGAAGCCTGACATTTGCAAATGGGAACTGGTAATTCAACTGTAGCTGTGTCCCCTTGGTATCTCAAGTTAGCCAGTATTTATTTAAAACAAAAAAGTTCATGGGAGATCCATGGAGATTGACGACTGCATCCTACCATGGCCAGGAACATAAGAATTCAACTGAAGAAAGCAGGAGAAAATTTAGTGGAAAGAACTGAACATCACCAATGTATATTTTATATATCCTTTTGGCCTATTCTGCATTCTGTAAAATATCATAAAATGGATGAATTGAAACATGGCATTTGGAAAAAGAACCACAGTCTTCTAACATAATGGAACACACATTCTTGCATGAAACTGAATACATTTGCATATTTCGAATAGCAGAGTCAAGTTGCTGTTACAGTTTTTATGTGATTTTTTTCATCCAGAGTTTGATTTATATTTTGTTCAGTTCTGATTTGCCAATAATTCTTTTTGTCTCAATAGATGAAGAATAGTGGTTGAGACATGGGCTTTGGGGCCAGACAAAGGAAAGATTAGCCCATGGAAGTGTTTCTATTTGCCCAAGAAGCAGTCCCTGCTTTGGGAAGCTGGTTGACTGTATTGCATTTTGGGATCCCTGCAGGACAAAAACAGAGCTCTGGCTTAGGAGATAGGAAATCTAATTTTTAGTTTTGAATCTACCCCTTTTCTTGCTGTCTTAATTTCTCTCTAAACCTCAGTGTCCTCATTATTAAATTAATAAAATGGAGATGATGGTACCATTCTTCGGACCTCACAAGGTTATGGTGGGCCCAAATGGTACAGTTGAAAGCATTTTGTACATGCCAAAGCCCTCTCCCAATGGGAGGTATTGCTGTTGTTTTTGCTAGCAATGGAAATATTACTAATTACAGTAATAGTGAACAGCAATTCACACCATAATGAAAATTTTAATAAGGGTTCCACGTCAAAATTAATACATATGCGGTGACATAGAAAAAATGTTATTCTTTAGCAGCTGATAGGAAAATTCCTCTTGGGAAACTATGGTCTATGTTTGGGAGGAACACTTTGATGGTTCAGCTGAGGGGACTTTGAGTGCATTTGGAATGTAGGTACGCCTGAAAGTAGATGGGGAGTCGGGGTGCTTTCTCATGTTTCAATGTGAGTGTATTTGGGCAGGGAGGGCAGTGGGGAGAATATTAAAAATGGGAAGACTTTGAAAAATGCAAAGTGGTTTGCTCCCATGTGCACCCTGAAATCAGCCTGTAGCCAAGCAGTAGAGTAAAAGGACGGTGGCTTAAGAAGTTCCAAGACCCTATTTTTTCCCCCACAGTAAGTTATTCTAAGTCATTTGCATTTTTTTCTCTCTCCAACCTCCAGGCCATCAAGAAGCCATAGCAGTGTGCTTGCACACCCAGACCCAGCAGACAGTCAGTGATACCTTGTGTGATATGGTCCACCGTCCTCCAGCAATGAGCCAGTCTTGCAACACGGAGCCCTGCCCACCCAGGTATGTGCCATCCCGTGCTCCCAGGATGCTGTGTCAAATGGTAACACCCTCTCCTGCAGAGAGGCCCACATGTGCATAGAGGCTTGTGCCTCCACCCAAGGTAAACCACCTAGCTTAGGTAGGCATTCTCTCTTCTCCATTCACATTATGCTCCAGCCAGATTCCTGCTGGGTGCGCAGATACGGCGTGTTGAGAAGGAATCCCGTTTACCCTGGCTCTTGTGAATGAACATCAGCTGGTCTGTGCTTGCAAAACCACAGGGTCTGCAGTTCTGTTCTCTTTCTCCTATCTCCTCAAGGGCACTTCTTTGCCTCAGGCCACATCAGAGAGCACAGGATCAGAGGTAGAGTTAGCACGAGTACGCAGTTGGTGCTCAGTCCATATTTGTTGAATGACTGAGCGGATGTCCTACTTGTTACCTACACACTGTGTATTATCACCGTTCCCACTGACTTGCCTTAGGTCTCAGACTGAGGGGTGCAGTGTTACAGGCCCGCATGAATAGATGAGGCTGACTTATTTTTGGTCTTCTTGGTCTGAAAGGTTGTCGCTAAAAGTTAATCAGCTTCCTTGCTTAAGTCCTTTTAAGATCCTGGGGAATTTTATTGGAAGGGAGGGTAGATTTTCCCCACGTTCTTCTATCCCTGGGCGTTGCTGCCTGCAGAGGATTATGACTCAGCTTCATTGGTTTCTAACATAAGAACCTCCAGAATCCAACCGCCAGTTTTTTCTTTCTTCACTCCTTTACCTTTGTTGTCTTGATCACACTTCCATCACGAATCAGTTGCCAAAAATATAGCTCTCATTCCCAGTCTGCTCCCCTCTCTCTTTGCCAGAATCTCTTAACTGCCTCTTGGTAGTCATATAGCCCATCTAACGAGGTACCTTTATTCCCTAAATTCAAGTTCGCAACATCTGGGACTCTTAAGTCACTGAGGAAGATTATTGTGTCCCTCCGGCCATACTGGAGTAAGGACAGGTGTATTTTATGTTTATTCAGGAAATAAGTTTGGTTCTGGAATTCTCTCGACCCTTCTGATTTTGATTCCGTGAAATGTGTTGGCCGTGATGTAAAAAGTCCTGCCCTGGTGGTCTGAGGGAGGTGGGGGTGGGTGTGGAATAAGCTCATCCACCCTCGGAATCCACCCTCCCCATCCTGCAGATGGGCCCTTTTCTTCCGAGTCTGCTTCTCCAACCCGCACAGTCTCTGGTGGAGGCCGGCTCCAATGTGCGCTTCACCTTGGTGAGGGCACCCCCTCCAATGAGGCAGGCACAGTGTTTTATATCCATGACCATATTGCTGACTTCAGTTATAGGCTCAGGAGATCCCAGGGACTTCTTGACTTGCATTAGAGCCATCTTGCTGGGCTCTGCTGAGCAGCAGTTAGGACCTAGGCCCGGGAACAGCACAGGGAAATCTACTTCCCTCCCTGCCCCACCCCCCACACATGCTTACTGCATTCCAGAATGATCCAAGATTACAGAAGAGACATACAGGAGGGGTTTTTAGGGAGGTTTGATCTAACCTCGGCTTAGGCTGCCCGCTTTGTCAAGTGTGTCCAGAACTTTCCAAAAGCATCGATCATACGGGTGTAATGCTGAGTGTATAGCTACTTGGTGTGTCCCTTTTATCTTTGGAGAAATGGCAGTTCTGTTAAGTGTACAAGCAAGCCCTAGTAATCTAAATACTTATCTGGGTTTCTCAGTTGTTTCTTATTCTAATACTAGAACCACTGACTCGGATATTTTTGGAAAAGCCAGGGTTTCTATTTTTCTTCCCTGACACACCCCGCCCCTGAGGCTTTGTAGATGGGAGCAGATGGCTACCTGTCTGAACCGGGGTGAGGGACAAGGGGAAACACAGCAAGGGGAAACATAGTTTACTCTCTCAACCTGTTTTCCCATGAAGTTGGAATCATGCACCACCTCCCCTTTCTCGACACCAGCCGGCACTCTCTTTCTGGAAAGCGGACTATAAACGAAATGGTTTGGAATTTATACAAACTCTCAATGGTGACTACAGTTTGGCTAAGCATGTAGTTCTGTAGCCATAAACAAAGAGGAGTGAAAAGAAACTGTTACCCCTAAATTGGGAGTGTGCTTTATTTCTAGTTTCAAATCTTATTCCCTATCAACAGAAAGCTAGTCTTCACCCAGTTGTCTTTTCTTTCTAGCCCAAGTCATTGACAAATGAGGACATGGGCACAAGTGGCACTTAAACGGAAAATGGACACAGGTGCCAACACAAAGCGTGCTTCAAGTGAGAGGAATTTGCCCAGCAGGGGACTGAGGGGGCCGAGGACAATGGAGAAACTCGGCTTTGCTTTTGCAAAAACAACCCTGTTCTGATCTAGCTCTGAAAGTGAAGACAGCCGTAGTGGGTCATCATGTAATTTTTTCAGAAAAAAAAAAGAGAGAGAGACAAAATGCAAAACAATCCATTCTTTCTTCACTCCAAGAATGAGCACACCCAGTCGCCATTACCACCTACATTATGTTCAGTGTAAGGTAAATAACTCAATTTCACCATTTTTAGTTTAATTTTTTAAGGCATTCTTTTTTTTTTTTAAAGATTATATTTATTTATTTGAGAGAGAGAATGAGAGAGAGAGCATGAGAGGGGTGAGGGCCAGAGGGAGAAGCAGACTCCCTGCTGAGCAGGGAGCCCGAATGGGACTCAATCCCGGGACTCCAGGATCATGACCTGAGCCGAAGGCAGTCGCTTAACCAACTGAGCCACCCAGGCGCCCTTTAATTTTTTAAGATGAAGTCCAAATCATACATTTCTCCACTATGTATTCTATTCATAATAGAATCTGAGTCCCTTCTTTGAGTGGCTTTGCATTGTGGCTTTTTCTGGTTTCATTTCTCTTCTGATGACATGGACGCGATTTGTGACGCTTTGTCTCTCAACCTCTTAGCAATCTGCCCCAGCCTGCGACGTTAATGCAGAGGTATTTTGTATGAACTGTTTCGACAGTTGCTAAATAAACGCCCACCCCTTGTGTTTCCTTGCTCTGATCCATATGCACAGGTATGACCTTCAGAGAGCTTTCTAAATTATGGTGACCGTGTGAAGCTCCCACATAAAACCCTCCAGTAACTTTCCTTACCTGTGGATCGCAATCCATGTTCCTTACTCTAGCGTGCATGTGAGTTTCCTGGGCCTGCTGTCACAAAGTACCAGGTGGCTTAAGCAATAGAAGTTTATTGTCTCTGTTCTGGAGGCTGGGAGTCTGAGATCAAGGGGTGGGGAAGGGTTGGCTCCTTCTGAGACAGGGAGCGAGAACCTGGTCCAGGTCTCTTTCCCAGCTGTTGGTAGGCGTTCCATGGCTTGTGGATGCTGTTCTCCCCATGTTTCCATGTTGTCTTCCTTCTGTTTGTCCCTTTGTCCAAATGTTCCGTTTCTGTAAGGATACCATTTATATTGGATTGGGGCCCTTCCTTTTTTTTTTTTTTTTTTTTTGCTGTTCTTTATTTTTTTATTTTTTTTATTATGTTATGTTAATCACCATACATTACATCATTAGTTTTTGATGTGTTTGCATATAACACCCAGTGCTCCGTGCAGAACGTGCCCTCTTTAATACCCATAACCAGGCTAACCCATCCTCCCAACCCCTCCCCTCTAAAGCCCTCAGTGGGGTTTTTCAGAGTCCACAGTGTCTCATGGTTCATTTCCTGGATTGGGGCCCTTTCTAATGACCTCATCTAAATTGATCATCTGCAAAGACCCTGTTTCCAAATAAGATCACATTGATAGGTACTAGGAGTCAGGGCTTCAACAACTTTTGTGGGGAAATAGTTCAGACTGTAACAGTCTATAAAGTCCTTTGTGCCCCTGCTTTTAGGTTCCTGAACCACATCTCCTGTCACTACGACCCTCAGCACAGGCACGCGTGCATGCACACGCCATGAGGAACGTGCCCTGCAGCCATGGTAAATTTCCACTGTGACCCACTCTCATGTTCATTCATGCCTTTGGGACTTTGCACATACCATACCTGCTGTCTGGAGCCCTTTTCTACCATAAGACAAGTTAAATCTCTCCCTGAAAAGCGATCACTTCCTACTGGTATAATGAAGTCCAACAGAATGTGAAATAGGACCCTATGCTGAGACCCTTGATAGAGGGGAAGTCTTCGTAGTTGAGAGAGGACTGAGAGTGGGTCAGGGGCATGGGGTGGCGCTCCAGCTCTGACCCCTCCAGGAATTTCAGGCAGGTGCCTTAGCCCTCTGGGCCTCTTCATCTGAGTCATGACAGAAGATGCTGGACTTTGTGGCCAGCAAGTTCCTATCAACTCCAACCTTTTGCTGTTAAAGGAGGCTTTCAAGTTGCATTTTTTACTCACGTCTTCAGAACTATGCCCAGTCTTTCTGCGGGGATCCCCCTGTCTACTCATGAGTAGTTGCAAATGCTCAGGGTCATTTCAGTTCTAAGAACAGTAGCCTTCCCTTGACCTGCCCAGGAGGCCATGGCAGGGTTTGAGTTCAGTCTGCAGTGCTGCCCTTCCCTTGCTCACCAAACCGGAGCAAGATTTAGTAGCAAGTCTGGACCCTGTTTCTTAAGGCTGCTGAGGGAAGCGTGCCGACCTGTCCTGGGTACAGCAGCATCCCTGTCCCCTCATCGCTGGGCCTCAGCAAGAATGATTGCACGTTATCTTCTCCAACACCGTCCTGCCCACAGAGCTTCCTTCCAAGCTAGGAATAATAGAGCATGCACTATGTCTTGGCCACTTTGCAAAATTAAGAGTCTGTTTTTATGTGAAGGGAAATACTCTTCCTTGTTTCAAAATTGCGAATTTAATAAACTTTTCGAAGGTTGAGAATTATATTGGAAAAAACCCAGCTGAGACAAAGGGTTGGTGCCAAAGTAAAGGTAAGTTTACAAAAATGTTTTAGGTTCTAGAAACCAGTGGTGTAGGAATAACAGGAACAGGGTGTTGCATAATATTTTCCACACAAATATTTACTGACTCCAAGGGCAATAGCAGTAAAAT